TACATCTTTAATAAACTTACCATTGATGACTCCCCAGCGGTTCTGGCGGCCGCGCACTTGCTGACCTCCAACAACAATGTTCTTCTCGGAACCAACAACGGCAAAGGGAACTTGCTCCTGCGCATCGTTAGATTTGACCCAACGAAAATAAGCCGAATTTTCCTACCTTGATCACTGCGTTGAGAGAGACCTCATCGTGGTCGTGCTCTACGTTGTCGTAGGGGTACATCCGCAGGTTGTGGAAAGCAAACTCCTCCTTGATCCTGGCCTTGAACTCGGCGCGCTCCTCAAGCGTCAAGGAATCACTCTTGGCGATGACGGGCACGACGTTAACGTACTCGCTGAGCTTCTTCAGGACCACAATGTCGATGGGCTTGAGTCCGTGTCCGGAAGGCTGGATGAAGAAGAGGCAGCAGTGGATCCTGGTGTCCTGGAGGTAGCCCTCACGCTGCGCGGTCAATTCCTTGCGCAGGTAGGCAGAGTGCTGGTCCTTGATGTACTTGACGATGGGGTCCCAGCAGCGGTCGTTGTTGATCAGGTCGCCGTAGCCAGGAGTGTCAACAATGTTGAGGCGCAGACGAACGCCGTTCTCCTCGATAACGTGCGAGACGCTTTGGATCTCAGTGGTGCTGCGAATGGGTTCCTCGGGGCTCATGCGACCCTTGCTGTCCATGAGGTGGGAGGCGAAGATGGTGTTGATCAGAGTCGACTTGCCCAACCCAGTTTGTCCTGATATCTGCTGTTAGTCGCGTTGGGTCCTCGGGGTTGGCAAGCTACACGGCCCGGGAGCTACCGATGCGCAGAGTCGCATGGTGGCTGGTCGAGATGGGGTAACATACCGACACAGATGACGTTGAACTGGAAGCCACGCTTCAACAGCTTCTTCTCAATCTGCTGGGTGATGCTGTCGAAACCGACATGGCTCTTGGGGAAGACGGTCGCGGCCTGAGCGGTAGCGGGAGCGGCAGCCATCTTGACGACGTGGAGCGTCCGGGAGAGGGCGCAAAGAGGTTGAGAGAAGGAGAGTTAACGAGCGACGAATGGATCGAGAGGAATTGGAGGTCGAGAGGACCGTGTAGAGTGGGAGCAGAGGTAGAGGCGCGGGTCAGGGACGTGGATAGCGTGGACGAGATGGAGAATGGGAAAGGGGGCGGTCGGTCGCGCTCGCTCGGGTGGTAGGGATGCGCGGAGCCGCCAATCCCGCACGGGGAAGGTGCCATTTTCCGACTGCTGCTCTGCCTCCAACTCAACACCACGCCAAAAGTTCCTCTCGTCGTCAACAGCTCTCCCGGCGCACCCATGGCTGCTATCCGTTCTCTCGGCGCTGGCCCCATGGCCTCCATTCTCCCCAGACTGAGCGCGCCGGCCACGATGCTCTCGCCAATGCTCCGTCGCATGCAACAGCCGCTCCTGCCACCATCAATTCGCCTTCCCGCTTCAGCAGTCGCCGCCATAGGAAGCGTCTCCGGCGTTCTGTCCGATATCTGGGAGTCCATCCTGCGCGCTGTCCCCAAGAAGAAGACGTCACACATGAAGAAACGCATTAGGCAATACGCCAACAAGGGTCTCAAGGACGTCACCGAGATTGTCAAGTGCCCTGGGTGTGGCAGGCCCAAGAGAGCACACATTCTGTGCCCGTTTTGCGTAAAATGTTTGTTAGGTATTCCGTCAATCAATGGCTATTCTGACAAGTCGACAGCAATCCAAAAGTGGCTCAAGGACAAGTCGGCATAGTTTCCAACACTGCAGGCAGGACGAGGGGAGTTTTTTGAGCATTACATCTTCCGATGTGCATAAATTTCAAGGGATGATGGCATTGACGGCGCTCACGGCATAACAATTGTTTTTGGGATACCTCTGCGGATCTGTATGAATATTGAGGGGTTCATGAGAAACCAAGTCTTGAAAAGCAATAGAATTTTAGACAATGAGCAATTGGGCAACTGGAGATTCTAGATGGGTGTTCTATGGGCTATTGTAGCTATCAAAAGTTCCTAGGACGTGAGAGCATGTCAAACAATCAGTCTGTGCTCCGCAAGTGATGTGCAGCTAGTTTCCTCCCCGCTATGACATCGTTACCTCTGCCTCAGACGCGTCCACCCGCGCACCGCGATCTTACACAACCACACACCAATACCGCAGCCGCCGCAGTGCCTCTCCACGGATACAGCTCATTGCAGCGGTGAGGCTCCTTGAAAATGGTACAATCTCATCGGACTCTTCAAGCCATTTGAGAATCTTGAAACCTAACCTTGGCGCAGTCGAAACAATACCTGACACTCCACACCATTGAAGATGGTAACCACTCCCGGTCCGCTACAACTGCACACGCAAAATTCTGACAATGAAGCAGCCCACCCAACGGACATCTTCGCCATTGCGCCAACCAAGTCCAGCCTTCTCTCTGCGTCAGGCTCTTCTCACATCCGCGTTTTCGACACGACGAATCCCGAATTCCCGCTAGTCCAAACCCTGAACGGCGCCCACAAACTCGGCTGTCATCACCTAGTCACATCTGCAAATGGCTCAAAGGCTGCTAGTGCTGGCTTTGGGGGAGAGATCAAGCTCTGGAGTGCCGCTGAGGACGGAACCTGGCAAGAGGAGGGCAACATAACAGACGGCAACAAGGCGGGCGAGGCCTGGGCAATCTCTCTCAGTGAAGACGGCAGATACTTGGCGAGTACGACACACGATGGCAGAATCAATGTGTGGGAGACCACGTCAAAGGAGAAAATCAGGGAGTACGAAACGAAGGGTAGCTTTGGCTTGAGCATCCATCTGGTAAGCTCCCCCGAACCACACGCCGTGGAGCAGAGTCAGAGGCTCTTAGAGTAGAAGCACTGACAGACCATGACAGAGCCTTGACGGCCGCTTCACCGCGTCCGGTCACGAGAACGGCAGCGTGTACATTTTCAACAACGACACGGGAAGACTCGTACACTCGTTGCCCGGTCTCATCAAGCCTATACGAACTTTGGCTTTCTCTCCGGGTTGCAAGCTGCTCGCTGCGGGTGGAGATGCCAAAACGATTGCTATTTACGACGTCTCATCCGGGGAGCAGATTGCGATTCTCTCGGGCCACGCGGCTTGGGTCATGAGCTTGGACTGGAGTGCAACGGGCGAGTACCTGTTGAGCGGGTGAGTACTTGGCTTTCTCGATCATGCCCAAGCGTCACTATCCTCTCATGTCAATCTTCTTTGCCCTCCTTGGATCTTCACCTGGATTGAGCAATTGACTGACTGTTGGCGTTGTAGTTCCTTTGATGGCAAAGCCAAGGTCTGGTCTATTGAAGCTCGGACTTGTGTCGCCACGCACTCGGAATCTGATAAGACACTCTGGACCGTCAAGTGGCTGCCCAAGACCCAAGGTTCAGAAAAGTTTGCCGTTGCTGGTGCCGGGAAGAGCATCTCCTTCTACCGCGAAGCCAGCGGGAGCTGATTCAACAACAAGTGGCAGCAGGGGAAAGAAGGGGAAAAGAAAAAGGTGTCCAATCAGGCTCGGGAGAAGTGCTTGCCGTCTCGAAATAAGAATCCCAACATTCCAAAACAGGGGGTCCAACTCTAACCAAAACCAATTACTCGGCCCCTGCCGAAGCCACCAACCACCTCTTAGAAATTGGGGATAGCATCCCTACAGCCAACCGCGATTGAACCGTTCCCGGACCGCCCCGAAGATCAGGACGCCGTGGCAAGCGGCAGTTTGTAGATAAAGGTACCGGGGAAGCTTCAGACTAAGACCAAAGCAACAAGATAGAACCCTGATGAGCCAGAGATACAGTTGATTGCGCATCCAGAAGTATGGGCTCGCAACACGCACAAATCAGCAAGAGTGACCCGAGCAGAAGGTGCACCGAGTAAAAACAGCAGCTGCATCTGAAACATTGCATCGAACTTTGACTAACCACTACTGTGCAGAGTGAGTTGTGCAGGGCAACGAGGAGCACTCGTTCCTCTCCGAAAAACCCACTGACGTACAGCACTGATCGACTGCCGCCGCCGCGAGCCTAAGTAAACCTCGAACGAGATGCCCTCGTACTCTGTGCCTGCCCTGAATGGCTACTGATGGCTCCCTGGCCATCCGCCCCGCAGTGCCCCGCAGCAGTCAATCTGCTGTTGAGTTGGCGCTTGGTTTGGCATGGAGATGAAGCAACACACGTCCGTCGACCTGTTCTCTGCGCTGGTGCGTTAGCGATTGGACCACAGCGCTCCTGGCCTCAAACTGCGAGGCTTTGGCGAGAACGAACTCGAAAATGCCGGAAATAGCTCCTGCCGCCCACTCCTGTTGCTGATTGACGTACTGCGCATGGTTTTGGCGCTCAGAAAACTACATGGCTTGGACTGGTGGGTACGTGGTGGCTGGAAGTGGACAGCGAAGCCTCCCCAGTCGCATCAATTCCTTCCATCTGTCTTCTTGCCCTTCTCGCAAAAAAAGAAAGTCTAACACCGGACATTGTCACTGGCCGAACACCTTCTTTAGTCAGTCGGGCAGCCGGGTTTGGGGTGTTTGGCGTTCCTGTTACTAAGGACGCAACTGTATATTTCACTTTCCCTCTAACTGCCTGTGCAAAGAGCTAGATGGACCAACACCCTTACTACCCTGCTCCCGTTGCCTCTTTGGGGACCTCGCTCTCGCCAGATGGCCAGATTGGTTTTAGGCAAATGATGTTCTTACCTATATCGTTCGCATCTTCTTCCTGAATAGATCTCCATTCCTTGCCAACAAGTTTTTCTCTGCACAATAGTAATGACTTCCAAACTCGATTGCTTACACTCACCCTTTGAAACTGCAGACGGACGCTTCATCTACGTTTTTCTCTGCCCACCACACTCAGTCGCTGCTGTTCACTCTCCCTGTCAGTACGCCAATTCATCGTTCACTAATCACATTATACGCAAAACATCGAGCAAGCCAACCAATGTCCCATGGACGCGGGAAACCAACACAAACCCCACTTTCTTAATGTCCGCATGCGAAATTTTGGTCGTCTAAAAAGTTTCCTCTCCGTCGCTGAGAGTCGAACTTAGATCTCCAGTCAATACATGCAACCTTTTCGATGCTTGTAATTGAAAGCATGTACATAGCATTTTGGTAATGCTGACCGATAGGACTGGTGGGCTACCATTGCACCACGACGGACATGCCTGTGGCTAGGAGTCCGTGTTTCTGGGTTATAATTAGAGGCGAAGAGCAGAGAGAAATGGAAGCTTTTGTATATGGTAAAGCACTTTGACAGTGGATGGTATATTAAATCATCAAAGAGCATGGCTGGAGAAGAGCAACGGTACAGTAGAAGATAGACTGCATCAATCAGAGATGAAATTGACATTTGCAAGGGAGGACAGGTCAAAATCTGTGTATTTCTATGGACATGTCTATCTAGCTGACAGTGATCTACCAAGCCTCCCCCGCGGACTCTTTCCGACGTATCCGACACGACCTCACTTGTCTGCGGATACGGTAAAGGTCGACTTTCCGACTCCACCGTCGGAACGAGCCTCTCTGGCGCTCCCACCCCCCAGCGTGAATGCCAATGTGATGCTGACAAGGCGCGGCCATTCAAAGAACAGTTTGCGCGAATAGAAGACGTAGACAGCGCGGGTCACGCGCAAAGCCCGCGCGTCCAGCTATTGCGTCGTCGACAGGAAATGATGAGACAAATTGGTGACGAAACAGCCGCGCAAAGGACACGGAGCAGCGGGTACGATGCAGAGGCAGGCCCTCTCTTGCGCAGAGGCTTCGCTCGTCGGGTCGTAGCAGGCGTGCGGTCCATCAATGGCGAAGCATCACGCCAACAGCGGCTAAAGGGAGTCGACGACAGGCGTGTCTCTTACCTAAAAGCTTCGTTCAACAGCCTACATTCGTGCTTCCTGGCGCAATATTGCGCACACTCCCTTTAATTTTGCCAGTACGTGCTGGCGCATCCGCTTTATCGTCTCGCGCGAGGGAGGCTTTCATTGTGTGATGCGTGACGTGCTCGACAGACGCAATGATGCCAGCGGCGGCAGCGGGGAAGAGAAGGGCCTCGAATAGCAGCCGCACCATCCGCAGTTTCCATGACGTTATTATGAATGGACGATGCGGAGAGGGGGGCTGGAGATCCGACTTGCATCATCTCACTAGTGTCTTTTGCTTGGGTCGGGAAATATTTTTTTGTTGCTTCTTTGCCTGCCCGTCTGTCCGACTCAAGACCGGATCGGACCGGGTGCGAGATGGGCTGTGTTGGTGGTGCCTGCTTGCTTGCTTCCTGTGCTTAGGTCGGGACATCAAGGTGGAGGATTGATGGGCGGATGGGTGGATGCGCTCAACGTCACTCACTACCGTGGTGTCTCTGGTTTGCGCTAGCTGCGCACCAACGGCGAGCAAAAGACATCAGGCTTGGCGGTTGCACTTCCTCGCTGATCGTTCCTGCGTTGACGCCAAACTGACATTTGGGAGGTCGTTTTCCTTCCTGGATCCCACTGTTTGGCCAAGACATTTTGGTGGTTGGACGGTGGTGAACGAGGTGTCCACCACGACGTCTAGCGCGCGGGCGATCATGACATCTGTCCGATGGCGCCGTCAAGCGGATAGGCGCGCCTACCGATCTTCTGGATGGAGGTGGGAATCCCGCGACTCGGACCGCTGTGTCCAACAGTTTCCCTATAGCTATCATCCAGTTAGCACAACAAGGCTGGTGGGAACCACGGCATCTGAGGCTCGGGAACAGCCATTGTGACTGCACGACCTGACCAGTCAATCGTGACGTAAGGGCTCTCGAGGTGTTCAAGTCTTTGAATCGGGAGCAGGATTGCTCAATCGACGTGTTGGGCTTCCCAATGCTCGGAGTCGCGGCTGCTGACGCTCAAGTCTTGACCATGACGACGGCCGTGTCGTGGCGGTGACGATAAATGTACTCCACAGAAGTCGTACTGTCGTCAGCTGCTCGATTTCATTCCTACTAAGTCCCCCTCGCTCTCGCCAGTGTGACCCGATAGACTTTTCGTGCAAAGAGACGTGTCGTTCCATAGTCCTGCGCCGGCACCGGAGAGTCCTAGAGACAAGATCCGTCTGTTGATAGTTGTCAACCCGTCGCTAGTCTGTCAATCAGAACGTCCGCGGTCACCACAATGGCATTCCAGAGACCCTTGCGCCACAATTGGCGATCAGCGTGATCGTCTAGAAGATCCGCAAACACACTAGAGCCGGCTGATTGCCACAAAGTCTAGTACGACAACCAGCGACCATATGTATGATTGTGTGGTTCAAATGCAAGATGCCCGACAAAAAGCACCAAAATCAATGTAAATCAGTGCATGCCAATCATAATGATGGACATTTCGACCCCGCTGCGAGAAAGCAATGTGTATTACCCGAAATGCGCACGAGTTCCTGGGTTCTGATGCAGGTGAAGGGCAGGGCAGGCGTAGGGCAGGGCAGGCGTGTGCTTGGCTCAGGTAAGCACGCCCAGGAGGGGTTGGTGCAATCAAAGGCTGGCAGACATTTTGCCCTGGTCTTTGGACGCGTGTCTCTTTTCTTTTCGATTTCCGATGGTCAGGCCCGATATTTTAAAGGACTTTCGGATGCTCTGCTGCTGCATTCAGTGTTGTTGCTGCTGCTGCTGGTATGTCTGCAAGGCCAAGATGCGACATGTCAACCGGTCTGTCAATTCGTCCACGTGGACGGGGGCGAAATGAGAGGAAGTAATCAGCCAAAGAGCTAATAACCTCAGCGCCGACATGTTTCGGCGCGCCTGGCGAAGTCGGCGTGGTGAGAGACATTGAAAGGAGCAGACGCAGCCGTGTTGAGCGTCCATCGGTTCGAGGTCGCTGAACGTGCATGAGCCACTCCCGTTCGCGAAGGTCCGGGGCTGATAGCGTCGCCACCAGGTTTGACCTGTCATATTTGCTTTTTCTTACACTTGAGTTGGTGGCGGAAAAGAGTGTTGGCTCGCCACCTATGAGCACTGAGGTGTCCCTCTGCTCGTGGAAAGCCACACAGCCAAGCCCAGATAGCCACCTACTGCTGTAAGCCAACAGGAGGCGCACCCTTTTAGCGGCAGGATCTGCTACGCTCGCTCAACCAACCGGACTTCTGCTCGGCGTGCAGTTCACACACACGCCTCTTCGGCAGTCGGTCCTCCTGGCGACCTTTGTTGTGCCTGTCATGGGCTAGTCCCGCCCATCGGCTTCTGGCGAAGCCTGGAGGGCAAGATCTCCGCTAATATTGAACCCTGGTGGCTTACGGGGCAGTCCGTCGCGCACAGAGGTTGTGAAAAAAAAAAAAAAAAACTTTCCTGCGATAAGGGCGCGGCGCGAGTAATGGTGATGGACGCTTGTGTCGAGACGAAACCCACCATCCAGACCATAGCGCGGAGACGGGGCCGACCGAGAGTGGCTCTTGATAATGACTCTGATGATCAGGTGGAGATGTGACTAGCCTGGCGGCAAAGCGAAGGCGCGGAGCGGCTGGCTCCGTCGTCATCGAGGGAGTTGAGAAGATGGAGTTGACAAAGTAGAAGAAACATGTCTTATCGAAAACTCCCCCATGAAAAAGGGGCTTCAGAGGCGTACGTCGAGGAGGGGATGGTAACCACTGGGGAGGAGGAGCCAGACCAAACAGACCGTCGAGGAAGAAGCAAGAGAGCGGCCGCGGCCCGCAGCGCATGCGGGGCGTCTGCCGATCTCTGGCAATCCATCCGTCCTTTCCCTCGACCTCATCTATCCATGCCCACCTTTCAATACCCGCACCTTGATCGCCATGTAGCCGTGTCAAAGTGCAGACGCGTGGTCTGACTGTGGCCGCGTGCGAGAATGCGCTTCAGACGACGCGCCAGCAGAGTTCTCGTAACCAGCAGCAGGCCATTTCGCGTAGCTAGCTACCTTGCTGGTCTCCCAGACTGGCGGGCATGATCAGGTGGTTGAACGAACGACCTGAGCCCGAGGCGAAGTTTGCTTACTGCTTTGCACCATTCAAGTCCGAGGCCGCAGACGTATGGATGCATTGCATCACGATCGCTGCCGTAGGACGCAAGAAGGGCTCTTGGATTGTCCTCCACGAATGCTGATGCACCCCACATTCACCCTTGCCAAATCCGTTTCAGCGTCCCTGGCGTGGCATGTTGATGTGGGAGATTGAAGATAAGTAAAGTGGAGAGGCATGATTGTTGCACTGCCAATGACACAATGGTACTTCTGCAATTGTCCGCTTGCACAACGCTCCTCGCTGCCATTATGCGTGCCATCGGCTCAACGGTCTGTTTCAAGCGTCAGAACGATGCATTGACACGAAAGCGGAATGGAGTAGCTGCAGGGATATTCTGAATGGGTCAGGAACGCAGAGCTGTACATTGCGAGTAAGCGACTCGAGGTGAAGCACCTACATGCGTCTGGGGCCTGGGACCCAAGGCGTGAAGAAGCAGCATATCCATCGCACGCGCTCTTTGCGTCAAAGCATGTTTTCGGGGGTAACACGGCGTCTGAAGCTGGGCCAAGAATTCAAGAGATAACGCAGTAGGCTTCGCAGCGTCGCACAGTGACGGCGACGGATAATGCCAGAGGTGAGAGGGCGAGACTGGTACTGCTGCTGTCGCTGCAAGCAGGACGGGCTCTTGTTGTTCCGTGTGTTCCGGCGAGCGTCACGTTCGGATGAGTAGAGTTTGCGGATGCATTGTCTTGGGGTCGTACAGCACCACCAAGAAGGCCAGTGCGGGTTGACTGTCGGTGTTGCGGCTAAGGCGCGAAGCATATTGGTTTCCTCGACGCACGTATGCGGCGAACCACGTGTACGAGGAATTGACCTTGAAAAGCTCTTGGAAATGATGTCTCTTGAAATTGACGCCAACGGCACTTTGCGCAGGGATGCCGCAAGAGGGCAATGATTTTCCAGCATGGCGATCTTTGTTGCCTATGGACACAGGCCGAGGCGGGTGCTGAAGACGTGCAGGATCTTGCAATGTCGGCCATGAGATGGATGGACATGATGTTTTCTTTTCCAGTCATGCTGCAGGCGCTGAGACATTGTAGACAAAGCCTCGTGGTGGCGTACTATACCAAGGTAGGATCCGAAGTTTGGCCAAAGTGATAAAGAGTCACTACCCACTACCCATAGACTGCCAAGTCGCCTGTACATGAATTGGTGCAGGCTCGCGCTCGCTGCAA